ATGTAAATTGATAGACATAAACAATTACAATATATATTTTTGAAAGCATTCTTATTTTACAGCATTTTTTCACACCTGCCTAACACTTTTGCACGGTACTGTATATGTCAGTCTAGCATTATAAAGATTAGACTACACAGTGTTAGGCTATAGAATACCATGTAAGTTACCTAAACCCTACTAATTAAGTAAGGTAAGTTGCCTAAACTTTGCTAATTTTCTTCCAAATTTGATTTCAGGCAGATTCGGGGCCATCTCATGAAGCTGCCTTGATTCTTCACCGAAAGGGATTTGATTGTAGGTTCACAAACACCGACTTAGGGCTCCTCTGTTCTACCACTCAGGGAAAGGTAAGATAAAATATTTTAATAAGGTCTGTATATTGGTGGAACTGGTTGCCTGGTTTCCAGTTGGGTGTGCTCAGTGGAATTGTTAATATTTCTTTTAAGCAGTAGAGCTGCATGCTATTACCACAAATCAAAAGCTGAATTGCCTTTGGATGACCAGATTTATAGTGGACTTTGTGGTCTTTTTACATATTACGTTATGTTATGGTACATATTTTGATATGCCTTAATATAAGCTATAGAAAGAAAAAAAAATCAACTTCAGGTTCACCCTGAACATATGCTGTGAATTAAGGATGTTTTTTCTTTCCATAGTACCTGATATTAGTTAATTAGCTTTTTTATTACTTTTTGCTATCAGTAGTTCATCACATTTTTGAAATTCTGTAAGGAACAATATAAATTTAGTTTACTGAATGCATTTAAAATTCCATGGAATTCTCTAGATTTAAATTTGTCAGAATAGCATTCAGTTTTCCTTTACAGTTTCAGTTCCTTCCATGGTCTATCTGCTGCCTGCAAAAGCAATTATACATGTACATCAATTACTGCCTTATATAGTGTGGGATTATTTATCACTTTTATTGCATCTGTTCCCTGTACCCAATAAAGTGTGGCTACTAGGGCTATATGAAGCTTTGGCTAAGGTTCATGTAAAGTACCTATCTGAGCTGCTCCATGAAAAATGTGGACTTTCCATATTTATTTATCAATCAATCATATTTATATAGCCACCCATCTCACATGAAAGTGATTCTGGATGGTGTACAGCACTTAACAACAATAAAAACATAAAAAGAGTCACAATTAAAAAATAACTATAAGAAGCACACAAACAGAGGATGATATTAACCACAATAAGGGAGCCATTGCAAAATCTCCCCAGTCCCCTGTGACCCTGAGCCCTGATAATGTAGCCAGGTCTTGAGGGACTTGCAGAATGTTGAGAGGGACAGAGCTAATCTCGCTTCTGGGGGGAGAAGATTCCACAAGGTGGGCTTCACAGCACAGAAGGCCCCTGGGACCCACCAAATGTAATTCCCTGGCAGACAGGACCTGCAGCATGCTTTCTTTGCCAGACCTGTTGAGGCGGGCAGATGTAATTGGGGAGAGGCAGTCCCTCAGATAACCCAGCCCCATGCCATGAAGGGCTTTAAAAGTCAAAACCAGCACCTTGAATTGGACCCAGAAACAAACCGACAACCAATGTAGTTCATGGAGCAGAGGTTAACATGTACCATTCCAGGGGCACAGATAACTGCTTGTGCTGCTGCATTTTGCACCAGCTGAAGCTTCTGGTACTCTTCAAGAGCAGCCCCATGTAGAGTGCATTACAGAAATCCAAACAGGAGTTGACTAGGGCATGAGTGACAGTAAGCAGAGCCCTCTGATCTAGGAACGGGCACAACTGGTACACAACCCAAAGCTGTGCAAAGGCCCTCCTAGCCGTGACTGCCACCTGCTTTTTGAGCAGGAGTTGTGAGTCCAGGAGGACCCCCCCAGATTGCACACAGGGTCTTTTTGGAGCAGTGCCACCCCATTCAGGACAAAAGACGGCATAGTCCTAGGACCGGAAGTTCCGAAACTCAAAGCCACTCAGTCTTGCCAGGGATCAGCTGAAGCCTGTTGTTCCCCATTCAGACCCTCATAGCCTCCAGGCACCCGGATAAGACATTCACAGCATTGCTTAATTTGCCAGGGGCAGAGATGTATAATTGGGTATCA